CCAGCCCCGGGGCTGGCACCTGGGGAAACCCCCACACGCGGCTGCCCGGCTTCGCGGGGATACAGAGCACCGCGGGGTCTGGCCGGGCAGCGGCTGATGGGGAATCTGCTGCTGCGCGCTCCGGGCCACACCCAGACGAGGCCAGCAGCGCCCCTCCCCGACCCGGGCGCGGCCGCCCCCAGACCCACGCAGACCGGAGGAGGGGGCACTTGTCTTTTACCACGGGACCTTGGCGTTGGTGCCCCTGGACCTTGATCTTCGCCCTGTTTGCCTTTCTTTACTCCCGCCTTTCCTACTTCCCCACTCCTCTCCCGAGTTACCCGAAGCCCCGCTTCTCGGCCCTGTCCTGGCGGGCATGTTTCGCTGTGGATTCCGGCTGCAGCTGACCTCTGTCCAGGTGTTCGTAGCCGCCCCGCGGCTGGGCTGCCCGAGCGAGCCGTGGAGGTCTGGGGAGGGGCGGGCGGGTTGGCAACTGGAGGAGTCCCTTCCTAGAGGATCCTGCTCAGTCCCGCGCCCAGACATGCTTCAGGTTGGGCTTCCTGTTGTTTGTCTGCTAGACGGGAAGGGTCTTGCTGCTGAGGGAGGGAGGTCTATTTGTTTTCTTTATAAAGCAGTTTGGGGGGGGGGGGACTATGTGAGGTGATTTCTCTCCTGAAGGGTTCCCTTCTTGCTATCTTAATTAAATAAGCGGAACCAGAAGAGCAGGCTTGATGAAGGATCTTCCAATCCCGGATTAATTTGGCCCGGTGCTGTGAGACAGAGACAGACGTGCTATTGGTACCTGGTTCACCACCTGAACTTGGCCAAAGGAATGGCGCTTCCTCCTGCCCTTCGCACTATCCAGCGGCAGTCGGGCTCTAGCTGACTGAAGCCAGGAACTCTGCCCTGTTGAGTGGGGCGGTGAGGACAGCAGAGCGGGGCCCTAAGCCAGACTCTGGAATACATTAAGCCCACCCTCCTGTCGTCCCCCACCACTTCCCTCCCAAGGGGAGCTGGAAGCATTCTGCAGGGTGTGGTTCGCACAAAGGGCTCCAGGATTCTCCTAGTGGTCTGAGGCCTGTGACTCAGCTGTGAGACCATGTGGGTGTGGCCCTGCTGGTTGCAGATACTCCGCGGATGGTTTGGACAGAACACTCCCTGAAGGAAAGGGGAACTGTGCCATCTTAGAGGGCATTTTCCAAGAGGAAGTGAGTCACACCTGGACTGGCCGCCAGTCTGAAGGAGAGGTTTCTTGACTGAATGGCGAGTGAGAGCCGTAATTAGATCAGCAGAGCCATGGCGAGACTGCTGCCTGGTTACAGGCAGTTGGCCGCCTGGCAGCCTGCCTCAGCTTTACTTGGGAGGTTGCTTTTCCCGTTAAGAGGTTTGCAGTTGCTGCAGAATTTTTTTCTCCCTGAAGCTTGAGTTTCAACCTCCAGGAGTGGAGTTTTATATCCTGCGCTTCAGGTGAGGCCAGGCTCATGGAAACACCCTGTCAGTGATCTTTTTTTTTTAACTCCAACGTGTTTCAGCAAATTGCCCATGATAATGCCAGAGGTTGGGGCAGGAGTGAGTTCATGTATCTCATTTGAAATTTCTTCATCAGCCCTTCCCGCATAGATTCCTATCTGGTTTCTATTTAATCATCCCTTCTAAATGGTATATACATTCCTTGACAGCCAGAGAGTAGGTTCTTCATGGTGGCCCTTCATCCGCCATTTGGAGTTTCTTATTTCAGTTATTCAATTTTCTCGGTCTACTGGGCATAAAGCAATTGTTTGGTCTCACCTTGATTTCTATGTTATGCTCTTCCCTGGCTTTTCCTGGACACAACATCAGCTAGGCCCTTTTCCTCCTATGTCTGGCCTCTGGCCTGCCTCCTTAGTGAGGTCAGGCCTTAGGCCGGGTGGAGCTGAGACTGGGTGCCTCCTTGCTTTCCACTGACAGTTCAAAAAATGTGACTTTTTCAGAGCACTACCCACTTGGTATGCCCTTGACACAGTCCAGTCTTTTTAAACTGTAAAGTTGAGGGAAACAATGGAATTCTTTCAGGGTTGTAATGTATAAATTAGCATTCAGAGTGCTGGGAAAGCTGGACTAAGATTTTAGGATCTTTCTTAAGCTTCTCCTTTTAACAGGGACTCAACAATTTAGGAATCTTTTATCAAAAACAAAAAGAATGAATTTATTTTTAGCAATTTTCAGCACTTCCTATTGCTTGTTAAGTAATGACCACACACCACACCAAAGGATTTAATACGTTGTCACAATAGCTATTGTTGGCTGATGCCTGACAATTCTTCAAGGAAAAATGGCTATACTCAGTTGCATTAGAGGAGGTTTCTGAGTTTTTTCTTTTTATTGAATTGCATCTGGAACTTTCCTTTGCTGCCCAGTTCTTTAGTGAGCAAGTTGTATTTGTTAAGAGGTGGGAGGAACAGCTTGGATCCAGATTCATTGCTTCAACTCATTTTCTCTGAATTTCCTTCAGGGATCAAATTCAAGAATGCCTTCTGGGTTCAATTTTTTTTAAAAAAGATTTCTTTTTCAAAATCCCTCAAGCAAAAGTAAGGAAACTTCAAACATATTTTAAATAACAGATGTTTGTTTTCACTGACACTCTGACAATTATTTTCTGGGTGGGCTGTAAGAAAACTAGGATATGGACAAGATACAGAAGAAAAAAGTAAATCAGACCTCATACTCTTTAGAAGTGCCCTCTTTGAAATTATGGCCTGGATCTGGGCTTAGGTCCAGAGCAAACATTTGGGATTGCTCAGAAGCAGACACTTTTTAAAGGAGGATTCCTGCTTCCTTGCTACTCTCCGGATGACCAAAATTATATTGTCAATTTCACAATTTCATTCTTAAGGATTCATTGAGCAGGATCTATGGGCACTGCCTACTGGAACCCTACTCAAGGAGCCAAAATCTAGTGAGGAAAGAAACATAAACAAATAACTAGAATTCAGGACAGACTTTTAAATAGGATTCCATTAGCTGTTGAACTCCTCAAAGGCAAGCACCATGGAGAGAGAGAGAGAGAGGTGTGTGTGTGTGTGTGTGTGTGTGTGTCCCCCTCGAGCCTAACACCATAGCCAAGACATGCAAAGTAGGTGCCCAGTGTAGAACCAAAATGGAAAATTGAATTCCTGCCACACTAACTAAATTTGAAGAGTCCAGAATTGTTTTCTGTAGAGAAAGCTACACAGAGAAAGACTTCCCCACCTCCACTCTTAAGACCTATTGCCTATGCAAACATGTAGTGGGTATACAGGTATCAGAATAAAATAATTCTATAAAAGGTGAGTGGACAGTGAGGTTGTTACATCCTGTGGAGCTCATCAGTCAGACAGCAGAGCTAGAGAAGCATGAATTATAAGGTGGGTGAATGAAAACATGAGAAAATAGCAGGAGTGAGAAGAGAGAAGTCATGTCAGTGTCTGACCAGACCTGTTTGGCAGGACACATTTTTTCCCTATGTATATGGAATGTGCTCTCCTCTGTACTTTACTATAGCATTCGTAGGCAAACGCTCTGGGGGCCCCTTTCCTGGCCCTTCCCAGCTCAAGTCCTCCTGCTGAGCTGTGAGCAACAAGGTTTTCAGCTTTGTCCTTGAGGCTGCACTTGCACCCTACCTACTGCCAAGGGGATTGTTTTGATTCATTCACTCACGCATTTAACAAATAGTTATTTAGTGGGCAGACTAATTCACAGTTCTTGACCAAGAGGAGATTAGATCCAAACAGGTAAACAATTAAATGTGATTGAGTTTTTCAGTGTGGGAGTAGGTTGTTGGGGGCACAGAGCATGATGCTGCCTCTGGCCCCAGCCCCAAGGCCCTCCCACCAAAGTATATCCAACCAGGAAGTGGAAGCCCCACACCTGCCCAGGAGTGGAGCTTGTGGGGTGGTTGGGTGGGGGTGGAAATGCCAGATTCAAGTCCTTGAAGAAATTCTGTTTTAGCAACCAACGGTCAGTGCTGCAGTCAGCCCCACCCAGGCAAGCCCCACCCAAGGAGAGAGGGCCAGGCAGGGCTGACTCAGTGGGGCAACTGCTGGCTGCACTGGAGAAGAGCTACGTGATTCATCCTTGAGCCAAGAGAACAGTGTCTTCCCCCTTTTCCTTCATCTTATTTTAAAACCAGTGTGCAGCACCTTCTTCAAACCTGAGCTCCTTGCTTGTAGCCCTGCTCAGTGCCCTTTGGAGCACTGGTTACTGATGAGACCCAGTGCATCTCCTCTGGTTTTCAAGGCTACTTTCACCTTCTGGCGAGCCCCTCCTTTGCATTCTTATTGCAAAAGGTCTACTGGACAAATAGGGAGTCAGCAGGCTGCTGCATTCACAGTCCATT